AAAATAATGGGATGGCAGCAATTTAATACTTCATTTTCCCCTACTGCTCAGATTACATTGTAAATTAAAATTGGCAAACAGATAAACTGGCAAGGGGTAGAGAGGTTGGGAAGCGCAACCTCATCAATTTACCTTTTGACAATTGCGAATCTTGTACCTTCAATGTGATTCATTTTGTGAGAATCATCAGGATGGTTTTGAAAAATTAATTAATTAACCACCGACTCAAGAAAATTGGCTATCTCTGTTATACCTCAATGAAAGCCCTGGGACATCAAAAGAAATAGATTCATTTTTTTATTTGAGACCCACTGTAGTGGAATAAAATACTTATGCTTACTTGCTGATCCTGTACACCATCCACCTCCATGGATGAAAATCACTGCTCTTTTCAAGACATCTGACTGCTTTGTAGGAATGTAAAGACGTACTGGAACATGGCTAAATTCTGTGTCTGTTACAATGACTTTTTCATCAGATGTAGGAGGTGTATATGTAGCAATTGTGTGCAGATTTAGAACATCCATAAAGTGTCCAACTCCCAACTTCTCCACAATTGTGGCCTGCAAAACAAAAGAAATGTTAACATCCTTGTGCTAATCAAAAACTTCATAGTACTCTAAACTCCATTTCTTTTCTGTAAACAAGTGTTTATCAATCTAGCCAGTAATTGCTAGGGGGCAGACAGGCGATCCATCAGAAGGGGCTCAGGGAAGAGCAAGAAAGCACCTGACTGGAATCCACAAGGGCCAGAATAACAATACGATTAATGAGCTAATCTAGCACTCACACAGTAAATACACTGAAAAAGGCTGATATGCACCAGACACAGATGTGAGGAAGGAAAATATCATGAAAGTATCATGCAAAAATTTTTTTTTACTTTTGCTTCAAAGAAAGACCAGCATCTGTTGCCCTGGAGAGGATACCATGAGATTTCAGAATTCCTCTGAAAGGAATTCATGGTTATGGAGTCCATCATTTCAGGGACATGCAGATACTAGAAATACCAAGCAAGAAATTCTGTAATGTGAGAGAAAACAGGGAGGTAATAAAGTAATAAAGACAAAAAGAATAACAGAGAATATGAAATATGAAATCTAGACCTCAATAGTCAGAACAGAGAAAGATTCAAAGTTAAAAGCTAACTATGCAAACTGTAATTATATCAAAATGTAATAGGATAGAGAAGGAATTAAAAATATAACGGTTCTGTGATTCATGATCTAATGACCACAGGGGGCCAGTAGAAGATCGATATAAAATTAATAATTTATTCTAGTTAAATGACTTGTCATCACTTTCCCTATTCTTTGTCTAAGAAATTCCTAATGTTTTTGACTATTCCCATGCTAAGATATTGTTAACTAGGTGCTACCATTTGCCTATCCTAATAATGAAACTGTTTTCATAATCCTGGTTTAGGGTAGGTTTCCACACTTAGGAATGCTGGCTGAATAACATAGGAGCCGAATGAGGGTCACTGAAAGCTCAAGTCCTGCTATACGGCATCTTCTACAAGGACTCAATTTATAACACTTTACCTAATAAAATATCTGGGAAATAGTGACCTTTTTCAAGTGCAGCTAATATTATCAGGTTGATATGAAGTAGTTTCTCTGAATGTGGACAAATTCTACCGTCCTGTATGTAAAGTTAGGCAAATTGACCACTGTTAATCCAGCACCAATCCAATATATTATTCTGTCTGCCTTTATTTTTATTTTTTTCTATTATTATTGTTGTTTTTAATGCACATCTGTGACCATAATAAAAATCGATTGAATACTTAGGAATGCTGACAAGCACACCTAGAACATTTGCGCCTCCAAGAGTTATTACATTTTTATTTCAGTTTTTGTTTCCCCTGAAAGGTGGGTAATATGGGTGTCCCTCCTTGTGTTATCCTCACAACAACCTTCTGGATTAAGAGTGAGTGATTGGTTATGATGTGACCTCCGTGGACAAGTGGGATTTTGAATATTGTCGAAATCTATCACCTTAACTTTAGCTGACTTTTGGAACTTAGAAGGTAGGTATACATTATAGAACTAAGCACTAGGATAATCAGCCACCAATAGCACAGCTGCTCCAAGCACATCATATTTGTTCATTCAACCTATCCACAAAACAATTTTCTCCCGATTTTAATCATTTTAATCATTAAGTCTTTGTTTACATTTCTCAGAACAAACTACTTTACTTTACTCTAGTCTATTCCCACCTAGTCTTTGAATGGTATCTTTCTTCCATTTCTGACAAATGACTCTATTCTACTTTTTCTCCTGGCTTCTTTTTATGCCTTATTCTCATGATCTCCTACAACATGACAAGTGTTTCAGGTAAAGGAGAAACACTGATCTGAGAAATACATTTGTCTGGTAAAATGTCTTCAGCTTGTACTTAAAAACCACTGAAATGGCCAGAAAAAAAAACACAAATGTAGAAAAAGGTTTTGCAGTTGGATAAAGCAGAAGTGAACTCTCAAGAAAGATTATGAAAAGATAGAAGGAGCCCTCTAGGACTAATGATTTACTAATGCTATATCTTCTACTTAATATATAAGGCAAAAGGTACTCTGGGTAGGACAGAGGGGAGGGTATTATTGCTATGGGACATTGTTATTAGACTACACTTGTAACATTACTCTATAAATGGCACTTGCCAAACAGGTAGAATAAGCTTGGCTCAAATCAAATCACTTGCTCAAAAGGACAAAGTACTTGTTTTATTTCCCTTTGCAAGCAGCCACAGGTAGATGAAAACTGATAAGCTGCAAATTCAGTCCCAACAAAGATGTTTGCACAACTCAACAGAAAATTAGAAGGCTGCTCATGTCTAATTCCTTTCAGTGCACTGGGTGGACATGAACAGCTAAAATGCAGAAAAATGTATATTAAACAATGATATTTACTCTAAGATTTCCCTATTTGGGATGACTTGTGGAGGCCAATGAAATGCAAATAAGGGTTTCCCTTTCTGTATGCAATAGCAATAGCAGTTAGACTTATATACCGCTTCATAGGGCTTTCAGCCCTCTCTAAGCGGTTTCCAGAGTCAGCATATCACCCCCACAGTCTGGGTCCTCATTTCACCCACCTCGGAAGGATGGAAGGCTGAGTCAACCGTGAGCCAGTGAGATTAGGCAGGCACAAAATAATGTAAACAGAAAAAATACCTTACCTGCATTATTAGTTAAGCATTGCAATCTGGAAATAATGAGGCAGTGAGAAAAGACTGCAAGAATTTACTCAGTTCAGCAGACAGATACGTAAGATTAGAAGTGAAATAAGTTTCTTTCTCCCCCCCCTCCCCCCCCAAGCATTTGCCTGGAAGCACAGAGCCTATTTTATTCTGGATCAACCAAGAATTGATCCATTAGTAACAGCAGGAATTGATCACACAGCTGGTTTCCATGCCTAAGGCTGGTCTAGAATTCACTGTCCCGGTTTCTAGCTTAGTCCCTTAACCACTAGACCAAACTGGCTCTCTTGTGGGTCTGAAAATACATTATATCCAAAATAAAGAAAGCATCCTGCTCAGAGTCTAATGTTCGGGAAGAAAATATTTTGTAAAAGGATAAATTTATAAAAAATAAAAAGGCAGTTGCTCCTGCTTCCATTATACTTTTAATATATGAGATTATATCCAGAAAAGGTATACAAAAATACATACAGTAAATTCCACCTCTTCCATTCCCCCACCCCCAATAATATTCAGTATTTGCTTTTAATATGACAAGTCTTCATTTTACAGATTGTTAGTGTTCTTCGTTCTTTGTTGTTTCCTCCGGAATTATATTATTTCCCTAAAAGCACAACTTTTTTCACTTTCAAGCATTCTCAGGCATAAACACAGAAAACGAATGTCTTAACTTACCACATGAATTAAGCTTCTAAAGCTAGCATCTAAAAGCATCACTTTCCAGGGTTCCTCCACATTCTCTGGTAAAGGCTGGTAGATGTAGTAGGCTATCAAAGTTGAAGCTACCAGAAGGTAGAAGAATTTTCCTCCCATCTTTTCCTCCGTCTACTTTATTCAACTCTCACTTTCACTGACTAATCTCAGGGGGATTGTAATAGTGACAAGTCAGCTGATCAAGCCTTTCACTTGATCTGAATAGGAAAGTTAGAGCCAGAGGCACTTTGTTAAATATTTACCAATCTTCAGTTGATAAAAGACATTTTGCTTTGGTGATTACAGCCTGAGGCAGTTCTTGAGTATTAACAACCTTTTTTTCACAGTGAAAAAAATAGTGGACCAGAGAATGCTGTCAATATAATTTACTTGGACTTCCGCAAGGCATTTGATAAAGTAGACCATAACCTACTACTAGACAAAGTAGAAAAATGTGGGTTAGACAGCATCACCACCAGATGGATTCATAACTGGTTGACCAAATGCACTCAACGTGTAGTCCTCAATGGAACTGCATCTACATGGAGGGAAATGTGCAGTGGAGTATCCAAGGCTCTGCTTTAGGCCCAGTAAATTATAT